CTCGGTCGGCGGCTCGGCCGAGCAGCTGGACGCGCTGGTGAAGAAGGACAAGGTGGTGGTCTTCCTCAAGGGCACGCCGGAGCAGCCCCAGTGCGGCTTCAGCAACGCGGTGGTACAGATCCTGCGGCTGCACGGCGTCAGCGACTACGCGGCCTACAACGTGCTGGACGACCCCCAGCTCCGGCAAGGTCAGGGCCCGCGGAGTGCGGGGGCGACAGGCCGAGGCCACTCTGGCGGGACCGGGGGTCTATCTGGAGGTTCAAGCGGTGTTAGGGCTCCGAGTCCTACTGCATTGGAGGGTCTGAGGTCGGGGCGTGACTGATTTGATCTGGGTCTGAGGAGCTGGGGCTCCGGTACTCTTGCCAGTTTGGACAGTAGAGTAAGTTCTAGCGGCTCATGGATCCTCACGCCGAACTGAAATAGACGTTTCTGGGCGAGTTCTCTCGGGCTAGTGGCCAGCAGCCTGACCCTCCACTCTGCAGGGCTGAGGATTGGTGCAAAGAGAGGTACCAGAGGTAGGCACTTTTGGGGACACGTTGAAGGGGGTGGCCTGTCTCGTGGGTAAGGAGTTGGTGCTGTGGGTGGTGGAGCCGAGGTGGCCGTTGTCCGAGGCTGGTGAGGTCAGAGGCTGGCCTCTCCTGCTTCAAGGCTCAGGGTTTCAAGGACCACCCTCTGTCGTTGCTACAAGGAGGGAGTTGAGACAGCTTTTGGACTGGTTTGAGTAGGGATCTGGTGGTGCAGAATAAGGCATGAGTTCAAGGTCATGGGAGAATTTGTGGCGCTAGGGTTGGGAGAGGTTTGTGGGAAGAGGGGCAAAAAATGATTCCTGGGCCTTAGGTAACTCAGGCGTGGAGCTCAAGGAGCTAGGGGCCAGTCACTACCTGTTGCTTTTCACTGGCCCAGGGGAGTCTATCCGGGCCCTGACTGCTAATGAGAATCGTTTAGTCTGAGCACAGTGCTGGGAACCTCCTATGCCTGTCTCCCTGGGTCTGCTCCTTGGTTAGGCTTGGTTGGAGTTGGTGGAGAAATGAGGCTGTGCCTGTACCTCCTGGAGAGGTACCTCTGGCTTAGGTACCCTGCGTTCCAGTTAGCGATGTGTACTAAAAAGAATTTTAAAGTCCTAGTTTCTTTGTTATTTTTCGTGTGGAATTCTACATTTCGTTATTCTACGTTTAGGACTGTTACTGTGCATTTGAAATGATCAGTCATTCCTACATTGATGAGACAGATTGGCGTCGAGGAAAGGCTTTGGGTTAGAACTCTTCTGTGGCCAGTCAGCTGTGCTATGTTTCGAGTGTCACATAAGTGCATTTTCCTTTTCGGTAATATTAGGATAATAAAATCAAACTTGGGAAAGTTTTTGTAAGGAAAAAAGAGAAAGTAAAATTTTCAAAAGTGCCTATCCTCTCATCTGGCACACAAAAGGCACCTGCTAGATTAGCTATTTTATTATTAGCACTTTATGTTTTTCAAAGTATTTTTCCCCACATGCCCTAATCCCTACAAGACTCTTGGATTTGGTGAGTGGAAACGAGGCGGAGTAGAGGGCAGGCTCACATTACCAGGTGTATGTACATTACCACGTATTATGCTCTCGATCCTTTTGTTTTTCTGGTCTACTAGAATGCCACTAGTTGCTAGGCTCTGGGTTTTTTCACATACGAGGCATTAACAGTTTTCATCCAGCAGCATCTTCTCTGCTTAAAAGATAAGGTAGGAAAAACTACTCTGTAATCATTCATCTGGGACCTTGCCACAGGTCCCCTGCAAATTGACAGTATGGCTGTTGGTAAAAGTTGTGTCATTGATATCTTGCTTCGTATAAAGTGTTGAAGGTCTTCAATTTGTGAATTTATGTTCTTCTGTTTTAATGTAACCAGAGATGGGATATCCTGGCTAATAAACTGAAAGGAGGAACAGAAATAAGAATGTTTACTGATAGCACTGTGTGTCTGTCTTCCAACATGTATGTACCTCTGGCTCCTGATCTGCTGTTCTTAAGTGTTCAAACAACAGCAACAATAATTTAATCAAATTTCTCGATCAAATTGTTATTTTGTTTAATAAATGTGTTGCATACGTATAGAACATAATATACACCTCTTTAATTGCTTAGAAAAGTGAACAGTGTAAGTATTCACCTTCAGTTGGGCAGAGTGGGATAAGCATGTTCTTCCCACAGTGGAGGTTAGTTTGGCCAGAGTAAGACTTTAAAATACTAGGAGAACTTGTCATCTCTTTACTCTCTACACCTCTGAGTTTACTGAGAGAGACTGACAGGCTGCATCATGGTCACTTTTGCCAGCCAAAGATATGTGTGTTCACCTTTCCCAGACCCAAGGTCACCTCAGGGGCTCCTGCAAATGGGCCTTTTCTGTTTTCTTGTGCAGAGAAGGCTGAGCTCTACGAAGGGCCCAAGCCAGAAGGAGACCCTCAGATGCTGTCTCCATGTCTGGGCCTGGGCCCGGGCCCAGTGACTGTGATGAAGAGAAGTGTCAGCCTGTGGCCCAAGGAACAAAGGTGACTGTGAGGCAGCATTGTGGTGGTTGTCTGGAGTACACACTGAAGACAGCCACAAAGGAATCAGGTCCCAGCAGGCAGATGTCACCATATCTTAATTCTGGTATTAACAGACTTGCCTTGATTGTTAGTTGTAAAAATAATGTGCTAATTGAAGAAACTTGGAAACACCGAAAATATAAAGAAACCAAAAATCATCTGTCATTCTGTATAAACCATTATTAACATTTGGACCCAGTTTCTAACTTTTTGTTATTGTTGTTGTATTTAAAAACACAATTGAGATTATGTGTGTCTGTACTTAGAAATTTGGCCCTCCTGAGAGCAGGGAATATGTCTTATGCCACTGCCTGGGTGCTGAGCAAGGTTTCAGTAAGTGTTTTAATGAATAAATACATGCTTCTTTTATTTATCATCTCATAAACTCTCTTCCATGCTCTAAAAACATAAATCCTCTTAAATTTCTGCCTATTCAGATCACCATTGTATTTCTTGCATTGGGAGCAGAGTCTGTTGAATGAATAATCGTTATCCTATTGTTGAGTTTTTTCTAAGCATTTGCAAATACGTTCAGCTTTTCCAGTATCAGAATTTAAGGCAATACGAAAAAACTTATGATATTGGTGAACTTTAAAAGTTGGATAACAAGTCGTGTGTGTGTGTGTGTGTGTGTGTGCGCGCGCGCACGCGCGTGTGGTGTAGATGAGAGTATAAAATGCTACCAACACTTTGGAGGGATAATTGTCAGTACCTAGTCAAGTGAAGCAGACCCAGCTGCTTCACCCCTGGGTATATAGTGTAGAGCAGGAGTTGAGGCAAACTTCCTTTGTAAAGGGCCATAGAGTAAATACTTCGGTCTTGTGGACCATGTGGTGTCTGTCACAAGTATTCAACTCTGCTATTGCAGCACGAAAGTGGTCAGGGACAATACAGAAATGAATAAGCGTGGCTCAGTTCCAGTAAAACTTTATTTATAAAAACAGAAAGTGGATCAGATTTGGCGGATGGCTGTAGTTTGCTACCCCTTGGTCTAGAGAGATGGACCCCTGCATGTGAGTTAGGAGGCTTGTGTGAGGATGTTCAGTGCATCATTGCTTGTAATAACGAAATATTGACAAGAGGGGATCTTGGTCTATTATTAGCAGACTGGATAACAGACTATAGTTTAGTCATGTAATGGAAAACTAAATTGTAGTTAAAATGAACTAGATCTCGATATATTTATACGACTACATTTAAAAAAAATACAATGTTTAATCAAAAAGTAAGTTGCCAAAAGGCGATTATGGCATAATGCCATTCGTGTGTCTGTGTCAAAGATGTGGAACAGCTTCATTGCTTATCCGTGCGTGCAAGTGAACTCATGGGCAGCAGCGACAGAGACCAGCCACAGGCCAGAGGCCACCTCTGGTGGTCCAGAACCTGGCCTTTGGACTCCGGGAAACCTGGATATAGATCCTGGCTCCACAGTAGGCTAGCACTGTGACTTTGGTTATTTAACCTCTCTGAGCCTTAGTTTCTTTATCTGTAAAATAGGGATAATTATACCTATAGGATTTTTGTAAAGATCAAATGAGATTATAGATGTAAAACACTTAAAAAGTATGAAACTCAGTACCCCTGAGCTCAATAAGTGGGTACTCTTATACTGCATGGCATACTTAATTGGTGTTTTTCCTGCATTCTTTCTCTGCTGCACGTAGTTCTCAGAAAAGCGTTGCCGAGAAGGGCAGGGCAGGGTGGAGAACACCGACGTCGAGGGAACCGAATATCCACGTTGTACCTGGCGCTGTGTGAGCTTAATTCATTTCACCAATTATATCTCATTTCCTCTTCGTAATAAATCTGTAAAGCCTGGAGTTATTCCCGTTGTGCAGATGAGGAAACCGGGGCTAAGCGAGCAGCAGATTAGCTGGGGCTCCATGTCCCTGCCGGCAGGCCGCGGCCCTCTGTTCCCTAAGCCAGTGCCTCGCTCACTCTGCCCCTGTGCTTTGCCTGTCCTCTGTCGAGAGTCTACTGCTCCGATGCTTTCAGCTCAGGTCGTTTCAGGTATTCCTAGCGTCATTCTCTCAGGGAAGAAGAAATATGTGACTCCGGGAGGAGGTGATGTGACTGCCCGAGGTCACTCACTGAGCCTAGTAAGTGGCAGAGGTGGAATTAATCTGCACTAGACTCTGAAGCTCTTATAGTGAAATGCAACCAAGAAAAACAGAGAACAGTAATTACGGTGTTCTTACAATACGTTGTCCAAACCAGGAGTGAAGTCTAACGTTCTGAAATGTGATGGATTTTGAAAAGTACTTTTTGAAAGTTCTGGAAGAGAATTTTGAGGTACATTTTCTGCACTCTGGCTCGTTACTTGGAATCTTAAACATTTCGGTGAGGCATTGGGTATGTGTGGAACTGGTTTTGTAAGACCACCTGCTAACCCCCAGCCCCTGGTGTTATCCTGTTCTAGAACTGTGCAGCCTACATTTTCCATCCCAAATCGAATCACTGTCTGTCATGTATAAAATGTGATTGTCAGTAAAATTCATTCTTGAGTATAATTTCTAATTTCTCTGGGTTTCTCTCTGATTCTGAGTAATTCCAAGTGACATTGTAAGAACTATCACTGGATATTGCAGTTTTTGAAAATTAAAATGTGAGAGAAATTAGCCATTAATTAATTAACGAATTAACACATTAAAGAATTGTGAATCAGAGGGATTCATTTAAATTTTCAACTTATGAACAGTGGTTTTTTATTATTGTAAGTTTTTCACTTCACTCTATAGGAGTCAGTTAGATATTTCCTCAAATGTTTAAACCTGTAATCAGACTTTTAAAACATGGAAAATCGCATACTTTTTAAGAAAGATGCCAAGCTTTGCCTTGACATCAGCTGTTTTGTCACACTTGTTAATCTAAAAATTAAAGAAACAGGTAAGTGGAGTTTTGATAAACTATCAGCTGGCAGGCACCTGGGCCACTGTCATGAGGCCATCATGTGCTCTGAGTTAGGGTTCCTTAGAGCTCTTGAGTTGGAAGTTATTCGGCAAGACAGCCACAGTCGTGGGGTTTGGAAGGAGTTAGTCTCCCTTGAGCTTGGCTGCATGTGTTGGATGCTCAGGGTGGTCGGAAAGCCCACACGTTTTGGTAATATTGGTGGTGTAGTTTTATTCTGGTGTTTTGCCCTGACTTCCCTTATAGTCAGGAGACATATGGTCTGTAGCATCGTAAAGTCTAATGAGTGAGACAAGCCTAATGCTTTGACCAAGTGTGGCACGGTAAAAATGATTGATGAAAGCATGTCATTCTTTTACTCAGCAAAGATTTTATTTTTAAAAAATTGTACTTTTTAGGATTAAACGTGTGATTTTGGGCAGCCCTCAGACGACCAATATATTTTTATTTTTGGTGTGTTTTAAAAATTGTAGGCACTCACCAAAAGATCAGTAGATATTTAATGTCATGGAAAGCTTAATAGCTTTATTAAGCTCTATTATAATCAGAAAAAAACATGTAATGTCATGTACACAAATGGTTCATGTATATAAATGTAAAAGATATTTAAGAAAGTTTGGAAGAAATAAAAGAAGTTCATATTTACTTTAAACATTTCTTAATTCTCACCTACCCTCAGTCATCATAAAAGTAAAAAAAGATTTGTAACTGGCATCATCGTAAAATAAGTTCTGAGAGACTGTATTTGAGTATAGAGTTTACAAAGAACAAAAACATATAACTTGTATGCTAAGTCGTCATCTATATAGCAACAAACATCAGAGTGATGAAAAGCTTGAATTCATCAGGGTGTTCTTCTAGTATATATAGGTAAAGACCCCAGGAGTGACTTAGAAGTGTGCTTTTCTGGGTCTGGAACGTACCAGCATGGTGACCGTATTTAACAGTACTGCATACTGGGAAGTTGCTTAGAGAGTAGATCTTAAAAGTTCCCATCACAAGAAACCGATTTTGTAAGTATGTATGCTGATGAATTTATTGTGGTGATTTTGCAATATATACAAATAACAAATCATTGTCGTACACCCGAAACTAATATAACATTAGATGTCAATGATACCTCAATAAAAAAAAAGTTCGAAAAAAAAAAAAAGTGTGTTTTTTGGGGCCTATAACGTTGTGACCATTTCTTCATACGTGAAATCTGCACAAGAAAGATAACGTCACGCCCAGCAAGCGTGGGTGGCTTCTCCAGTGCTGTCATTTAGAGCAAAGTCACTGTTTTTTAGAAGGCAATGACTTTTAAAAGAAAAAAACAGGGGCTGTTATTTGTGATAGAACTCAAATTGGTCATTTTATTGGGAAAATAAATGTTTAATAATAAATGATCGGATATCAAGAACCAGTTCTTATATTTTTAGTTTATTTACATAAAAATTACCACTTGACCAATTTTTTTATTTATGTAATACTGTATTTTGTTTGAAGAATCTGTTGACTTTTCTGTTTTGTTTATTTTGTGCTCATTTTGGCCAATTAAAAATATCTAACTATATAACTTTTAAAATACCACATAAAACTATAGTTATTAATTACTACAAGTCATGCTTTTGATCGTCTTCTGTTTTAACATAACCAACAGAGACATTTATTGTCTGGATATGTTTTAAGAATTTCACGTCAATATACGCGTAGAATGGTGAGGATGAATACTAGAACACAGTAACCTTTTATGTCTTAAGATTGAAACTGCATTTCTTTCTTACTATTTTGTTGTAACCTCGTGGTTTGGAACAGAACAGAATAATCGCATGGCTGCACTGTCACAGAATGTGCATCATCTGTGAAAGCCATCTACACACAGGAGTGATTGCATGCATACTGGATACTTCTGTCTGCTGTGAGCTCTTGAGAGCAGGGTATGGGTGTCCCTCACCCCGTGGCCCTGTGCTTGGCCCACGACATGGGCCTTAATGAGCTTTGGGCCTCTCCTCCTCACTCAGTCCCTGTGAGGTCTGTGCCAAGCCAGATCACCCGCCCCGTGGAGAGAGGGGCTGAGTAGGGTCAGGGCTGCAGGCTGTAGTCCCAGGAAAGGGATTTGTCTCTGGGCGAAAGAGTTAGCAAAGATAAAATAAGTGACTCAAGTCTTGAGGGTAAGTAACTGGTGGCATTCTCTAAGCTAGACAGACAGGCATCATGAATGGGTGGCCCCCTTTGTCAGTGAGTCACCGGATGGACCTGTGTTAAGTAGTCCACTTAGAGATGAAGACGTGGCATTTCTTTTAGGTTTTGTTTCACTGAAAACGTGGCTGGTAGATGTGTAGAGAATATAGCTCCGTGTAGCTCGTGTGACTTGACATTAACCAATCAAGTTCTCTGCCGATAATCCAGTGTCGATCGGGTGTTCAGTGTTTGATGAGAGCCTTTTCTGCTTCTCACAAAAACTTAGTGAGGTGAGGGTGGAAACAGAATGGGAAGTTAAGTAATAATTTATCTGAGGCCTCACTGTGATTGGAAGAGTTCGGGTTGAAACGGTCTGTTCGGCTCTGAAGCTTATGCTCTTTGCAGTGAACACGTTGTCCCCTGCGCTCGGCGGAGCCAGGAAGGAATGCTGGGCGTCCTGCAGCGGCGCGTAGGAAATGCTCCGCCTGAGGCGTTCAGCTCTGACCATTTCAATGACACATCACTGTTCTTTCCCCGTAGGCATTAAAGACTATTCCAACTGGCCCACCATCCCGCAGGTGTACCTCAACGGCGAGTTCGTGGGGGGCTGTGACATTCTTCTGCAGATGCACCAGAACGGGGACCTGGTAGAAGAACTGAAAAAGCTGGGGATCCGCTCCGCCCTTCTAGACGAAACGAAAGACCAGGACTCAAAGTGAGGGCGGCCGGGTCCCCCGGAGCAGAGGCCGCGCCGTCGGGAGAGGAAGCCGCTGGGGTCGGACACTCACTGCCAGGGAAGCCTTACCGATCTGGTTTTCACTATTCAGACAGCTGCTTGCACGATTCGTCCCGTGCGTAAGCAGTCGGGTGACTTCGGTATGTCTGGTGTTCGGGCTAAGAATCTTCTGTCGTGAACTTAGTTGTAACCACTGCACTGTCGTGATTCAGTGTTGTATTATGATATTGCTGTAAACAAAATTTGTTCTTACGTTGTCATTTGCTCTTTGCCTGATTCAAGAGTAAAACTAGGCGCTTCCGAATCAGAGTTATTACTCATGAGTCCTCTGCCAACGTGTCGGTCTGCAAATGTATACCCCCCTCAAATTTTTTGTAACTTGTTCTGTTAAGAAAAATGATGGACAAGGAAGAAAATGTGATAACCAGAGTGCTGTTTTTTTAAAAAATAAACTGCCAGGGATTCCACGTGTGAGTTGTTCATTCTGAAGAGCAGTAAGTCTGCGTCTGCGTCTCTTCTCGCTGCTGTAACAGAACCGCAGACGGGGTGGCTTATAACAACAGAGAGTTATTTCTCACGGTCCTGGAGGCTGGAAGTCCAGGGTCAAGGTGCTGGCAAGTTAGGTGTCTGGGGAGGGCCCACTCCGGGTTCGCTGACAGCCACCTCCTCACCGTGTCCTCACCAGAAGCTCTCTGGGGTCCCTTTTATTAGGGCACTCATCCCCTTCATGAAGCCTCCGCCCTCCTGACCAAGTCACCCCAGTCACCCCAAAGGCCCCGCCTCCTCACACCACCACTTTGATGTCAACATGGGAATCTCGGGGGACACAGACATCGGTCTGTGGTCTGTAAGGATTTTCAGTTCCTGTGACCTTTCGCTTTTGGGGATCCGGAGTGATTCTCACTCTTCTGTTAAAATTGCTTTCAAGTTGCGCTTTCGCTTCTGGAGGGGAGGTAAGCGCTGTGCTGAGTGGTGGCGAAGGTCCAGTTGGAGGCTCGTGCAGACCCGCGAGGAGTGAGCTGGGCGAGGCCTGCCGGCCTGAAAACCTGCGCTTGGCAAGCTGTGCTGGGGTTAAACAGGGCGACGTCGTTGGCAGTCCTCCGAAGAATGGCATCGAATGAGTCCTTTATTTCTTTAAAAATAAGGCCTTTATAGAAAAGGGAACGTTCGACATTATAGCAGAGGTTCTTCCCATACTGTGTGTTGTTGTCTGAGGCCCACAGGGCCTCTCCTCACTGAGGTGACCTGGGGGCGAGCTTTACGGGGGGTCGCGTGTGCCTCCTGACACCTTCCTCTATCTCTGGAGCCCTAAACGTGGCATCTGGAATTGCATCTTCGCCGTGGCAGAGGTAGGAAAGAGGATGAATTTTTCAATGAAAAGGGCAAAAATGATAAGAAAAGGTCAGCTCATTTCCCCAGAGCTGTCCAGGGGTCTGTTTGTGCGTCTTCGTCTGCTCGAGTGCCTCTTGGAAGAGCTCTGAAGAACTGAGTTAGTGAGATAAGGATCCACATGCAGATCCTTTGCAGCTAGCCAGCTTGCAGAGGTAGGCTCCTCTGGGGACAGCGTTCACAGCTTCAGGGAACCGCAGCTAGCCAGCTTGCCGCTCCTGCCACCACCCCTCCCCCAGAGGTCAGCTCCTCTGGGGACAGCGTTCACAGCTTCAGGGAACAGAAAACAGATTATTCTCACCAAAAGGTTTTCTTACTACATAGCTTGCACACGACAGCCCATCAGTACCTCTGTGTCTGCTGTGAGCTGGGAGCTTGACCTCGGGGAGGTTAGAGCTCGTCCACAGAACCGTGTCGTTTCACACATGAAAGGGAGGACACCCAGAGCCCATATGCTCAAGGTCTTGCTTGTGCGCTGGCACAGGGTGGCCACACCAAGGTTGCGACCTTGTCCTTTGCAAAAAATACCATTGACAGATCACCTGCTACTGTCCTTGCATGAATACCGGCCCCGGGGCCCACACACGCAGGGCGGGGCGTTGTCCCTCCCCTGCACATCTGGTACCTCTCCGTCATTTGCTTCCATTGGTTTTCCTTTAGAGCAGCCTATATACCCTTAGGGTTCATCTCAAAAGTGAAATGAGAAACTTAATAGCAGGGAGACATCAGCCTAAGAATCCTCCCTAGGGTATCAGGATGAGGGCAGAGCTGCCGAGCGAGCGAATAATTTGACTCAGAGGCTGATGACACATAGATCCTATCAGTCACCAGAGAGCTTAAAAGTTTAAGGGATCATTGGGCTCTGTAAGAAGTGGAAATGTTCCTTCCAGAAGTTGATTAATACTTTTTTTTCATACACTTAGCAAGTTTTTCCCAACTGGAAAATCGAAGATGCTGTCTGCTGTCATTCTGAGTAATTTTAACGATCTGCATAATTAGAATTCACTGTGCCGATGAGGGCTGTGACACCGAAGGTCCTTGTACAAACGGCGGTATTGCACGCCATCTGCTTAAAAACTCAGGGTCCGCCCCACGGCTTCCCAGTACGGGGCGGGGGACACTGCGATTTATTGGATCTTTGTCTCAACTTCAGAGTGCGGTGTTATTAGATCTTTTAGAAATAGCCAAAGTTGTTTTGGGAGATTAAACATTTGTGTGATTCCAGGTAGTGTTTTTTGTTTTTTTTGTAAGTGGTAGTACGTAAATGTCATTGCACTTCATATAAGCTATGAGCTGTGGAGATATTTTGGGACAGAAGTAACTTTCACGAAGTCTTGGGTTTATTATTATTGGCCCTTTTGATTTATTTGTGTAGAATCTGAAACATCAAGCTTTCCTATAATTAAAGCCGCAACAGCGAGCTTGGGAGAATTCTTGTAAATGTGTTAAATAACTTCTTTAGATATTTAGAGATTAAATTGTAACCTGAGAAGTCGGTTCCCTTGTTATTTGTGACAGGGGAGATTGTGCTAAGGGGTCAGAGGAATGACCTTTTGTTGGCAAGGTTTCGTTGAAGTAAATTTAAACCAGAGATGAGTGAACTTCCAAGTTTGTTTCTGAGAGTCACTGGCAGGAAGAAATAAATTGGGGTGGGTGGTCACACAAAAAGTAGCCGATTTGACAGATTAAAAAAAAAAGATTTCACATTTCACTTAAGAATTGTTCAGGAAATCTAAAAAAGTAGCTGTAAGTGATACCTAAGAACTCTGTGGTAGCTCGTTTGGAGGCGAGCGGAGGGGTGGTGGGAGACACGCCGGTGTGAAGCCCAGAGTCAAAGACGCGGTGACCGAGGGGGACTTGTGGGAAGTCGTGTCCCCTCTTGTTTCCTGAGAGTGGCACACTGGAGGTCGTCAGCCGCATTCGTGGTCTCAGTCGTGGGCCAAGTGCACTTGACCCGAGAGCAGGTCTGACCGGACTCTAAGGCGGTAGGTACCAGAGAACGGGCTCCTGGCTTCGAAGGCCTCAGTCCAGCCTCGGCCAGAGTGGCCGCCGCAAACACCTCGCTGGCCGCCTCACTGCCCTGCCCTCCCTCAGCGCTCTCTCGGTCAGTCACACCAGGTTGCAATTGCCTTCTCCACGGCTTCACTCAGGGACCCCCCATGGCTATCGTATGGAGTGCCCCGTCCCCCCCAAAATAAGTGAGAAATGAGTGAATTCCCTTTCTTCATTCCTTTGGGGCTAGTCGCAGGAAGCGTTAGGTTCTAACGGTTTGCCATCAGAAGCACGGAGCAGTAGCTGAGAGCTTGGACTTGGGTCAGACTTCCTGGATTGCCACCCCGAAACTGTGACTGACCTCAGACAAGTTAATAACCTCCTTTCCTACTCTACTGAAAAAAAGTAGCGAATGTCACCTCCGTCAGGCTTCTTATGAGGCTCAGATGCGAGTCCCCATCAGCAGCCCGGATTTCACCCGGCCTGTACTGTCTTGTTCCTCACCACACAGTTCTCAGGCTTATGGGAGCTGGTCACCCTCAGAGCAGTATCATCTTTGAGAGTAAATGACAAGATTTAATAATTGTGATGATCTCAGTGGAGTCAGCTGCTCTTGATGACAGGACGCCTCAGAAGTCCCTGGAAATTACTTTCCCAAGATTACAGTTAGACTTACTGCCACGGAGTTCAATTTTAAAAAAAATATCTTACTTCTGTTTCAGCCAGTGGGAAGTCTTTACTGAACCGGTAGGTTAGGCTTGAAAGAACACAGTTGAACCTTGGGTTAATTCTCATTTATCAGCAGCAAGGATTGCGATCCTGGGATCTAATTAACAGATTTCACAGGGATACATTTTGCAAGGGGAAAAAAAAAAAGTGTCACCCGGTTCGCAGGAGGTTAGGTGACAAAATATGGAAAGAATTTCCTATTATTGGGGTGTCTGACATCAGTCCTGAGCAGGCCACGAGTCCGTGCCTGGAGCTATACTTCGACGGGCCGCTTCCTGCTCTGGGCTCCACCGGGCCTCCGTCTCCCTAGAATGCTTCTTGGGCGAGCAGAGCACTGTTAGAGATGAGAGTCAGGATGGCATCAAGCTACTACAGTTTTACTGGACTTTCTAAAGATGGCGTGGTAGGTCGAATTAATGGCTCCCAAAGGTATCCATGTCCTGATCCCCACAACTTGTGAATATAGAGGGACCCCTCTGTCCAAAGGGTGTGGGGGCGGTTGTGGATGGAGCCTGAACATGGAGCTTGGTGTCCACACTCAGGCCCCAGTGGCTGCTGGATGGATTGCCCGCAGCTTCCTGGCAGATGGTACCTATTTCTGTCTCATCCAGGATCTTCCAGTCAGGCTCTGCATGGGACAGGATGACCATCAGTGGCATGGTGTGGCGGCTGCCCGGCCTCTCAGGCCCCACCAGGGAGGGCTGCCCCAGGCAAGGGCGGGCACTCTGGGTGCAGACAGCAGCCTGCAGTCAGGCCAAGGACGGAGGGGTCCTGTTGGCGATTGGTGTGCAGACCGTGAGGGTAGAGGGGCACAGGAGAGGCAGGGGTGAAGCGGGGAGTAATGGGACTGGAGCCGGGAGGGGTCGCAGGAGCCTTCATGCCGTGCTTGGCTGTCAACTTCTCACTGAGAATGGAGGGGAGCCCCGGGGTGTGCGGGGTAGAGGATCCAATGTGACCTGGGAAAGCTCACCTGGGAATCAGCACAGCCACTCTATAGGCCGAGAACACGGGAAACTGAGACAGGCACGTGTGATGA